TCCTGCACCATGGACACTGCAGCTGAGATGGGGGAGGTGAGCTCCCTGGGGCTTCCCTTGCTGCCTGGGGGTCTCTTAACCAGGGGCCTCACTCTCGGTGCCGGCACAGCACAGCACAGTGCTGGATCTCAGGAGGCCACATCATCACTCTCACGGGGCACCATTCATTTCCCACTGGTAATGCGCCTTTGTGGGTGGTGTGTCCTCAAGGGCAGGGTGAGGCGCTCAGGTGTCTTTGCCTGCAATGGTAGAGCTCAGCCAGAGGCACAGGGGCTGAGGAGCCTCGAAGCTGCCAGTTGCTTCCTGAATTCAAAAGATGCCCTGATGGAACCAAGCTAGACCACAGGCAGGATTTTCCCAGCTGGGAACATTTGTGCTGTGTGCTCTCCCTCCAGCTTCACCTGCACTTATGGTCCCCAGTTGGTAGCCAGGTGGCTGAGGGCATGAGACAGCAGCCCCTGGGAAGGCTGCACCACAAGCACAGTGAAGAGGAAGTTCATCAGGAAGAATACATTTCCCTGGTGGGCTCTAAACCCTGGAAAATTTAATCTGCCATCTTTGCTAAACATGCATTTTGAATGAGAATGGAGGAACATGGCTGTTGCACAGCAGGTTAAACCTCCGCCTACAGTGCTGGCATCCCGCATGGGTGCTGGTTTGAAACTTGGCCGCTCCACTTCCAACCCAACTTTCTGCTATGGCCTGGGAAAGCAGTAGAAAATGGCCCCAAGTGTTTGGGCCTCTGCACCCATGTGGGAGACTCAGACAAAGCTCCTGGCTCCTGGCTCCTGACTTCGGATTGGTGCAGCTCTGGCCATTGTGCCCATTTGGGGAGTGAACCAGAGGACGGAAGACCTCTCTCTCTCTCTCTCTCTCTCTCTCTAACTTGACTTTCAAAGAAATAAATGATTCTTTAAAATAAATACATAAACAAATGAGAATGGGAATCAAAGACCCTAGGAGGGATTGCTTTAGTTTTTGATGTTTAATATAGCAGAGTCAAAGGCCACCTCAGAGGTAACTGGACCACAATTCAGACCAAATCACCTGCCCAAAGTTGCCTAATGGGCTGGCTCTGTAGTTGTTACCATCTCTCTTGCTGTCTCCCCTCACCAATTGGCAGTTAGAATTTCGCATGCTAGAGTGGCCTGCAATAACACTGACTTTTCTGTCCATTGGATTTTTAAAAATTGAAACAAAATTAATCTTTTGTATGAATTCATAAACTGCTTCATGCTTTATTAAACATCAACTGTCATGTCTTCTGAATCTGGTTTTTTTTTTTTTTTTGGAAATAAGAATTAGGTCTAGTTCCTCCTCAATGTCCTTCATGTCCAAATAAAATACCTGCAGAAACGGGTCCGAAGGCAGCTCGATTCTGAATTCACTGAAAAGCAGATAGGATCATGCCTATTCTGTTAAAGCCACACCACCCTCTGGTGAAGCGTGTAAAACTACAAAGGACCACGTTAATTAACCCAAATGGGTCAGTGAGCTCATGAAGCACTCATCTCCCCAACGTTTCATTCTCTCCACCTTCTTCTTTCATAATAATAGATGGGGATGATTTCGCACACTCTCCAAATCCCAACTATGCACTTCTGCCACCAGTGTCGGGCCTGATGGGCACAAACAGCAGACGGAATCACCAGCTGCGCCCTCAGCTGCAGCCCCCACGGGTGGGCCAGCTCCCACACCTGATGCCTCCTCAGGTGCTCCCAGGCCCTCGCAGGTGCGATCTCTGCGGGCTCCACGAGGCCTCTCAGGGGGCCTCAGACCCCTCCCGCAATGCCCCTCGGGCCAGGACTGAGCAAACTCCGAGCCAGGGCCATGGGGAACCGCCCAAGAGGCCCAATGCCGAGTCTCGCGAGGACCTTGACCAGGGTCTGCACAGGGGTCCCACGGGCGCCCACGCACCCTGTGCACTGGAGCAGAAACCCAGCAGCCCAGCGTGGAGCGCCAACGACCCCTCAGAGACCCCAGAAACTGAGCAGAGGGAGGAACTGCGAGGCCGGATCCACTGAGGCCCAGTTGGACCGGCCAAGAGAGCAGGAAGCCCAGGACTCACCACGCTGACCGTGGGACTCAAGGTTCCTCCAGGCGGCTGCGTCCCCAGTCCCGCAGAAGCCTGGTCTGAGAACACCTCAGAGCTGAAGGCCACCAGCACTACGTGACAGCGTCCACGTGCCAGTTAAGTCCTGCAGCCAATCAGCTGTGCCGCCACTGGAGCCCGACCAATAAGAAACCCTAAGGGGCAGGACTTCTCTTTGGCGCCAACTGCCTTCCTCTGCTACTGCAGCAAAGGTCAAAGGCGGGAGGCCTCAAGTGGGATGAAGACCCAGCACAGATGGATGCATGCGGCTCAGGACAGAGCATGCTTGGAGGAGCGCTGATGTAGACATGCGTGGTTCTAGACAGAACTGCACTGTAGGGAGTGCGGGTGTAGACGAACCTGAGTGTGGCCATGCTGGATATAGAGGGCCCCAGGTGGACACAGAACCAGTACAGGGTGGGCCAGCAAACCTGCTTTCGACGTTGCTCCCCGGCTCCTTCCCGCCAGGGCCCCTCCCTTGCTCCCAAGGCAGGCAGTTCAGTCGCACCTGGCAGGTCCTGCACAGCGCTCGTGGCTCCTCCCCGGTTCCACTGCCAGACCCAGCAAGCCACGCTCTGCACAGAAGCATCCAAGACCAGCAGTGGCCAGGCTGCAGTGGTCACCAGCTATCCATTGCTTGACGAGGGAAAACGGGGGAAGGACACACAAACACACGGCCTGCAGAGGGTGGTGCATCTCACAAGTCCGAGTGGTTGTGATTCAGGTCCACAGTTCCCTGTGTTGCACACACTTGGCCTATAGCAACGGAGCTGGGATCCCAGTCTGAGGTGCTGGGATCCCAAAGTTACACTTGCTACAGGAGTCCAGGACAGTATGGAGGTATGAGGCCCAGGTGCCAGGAAGCTGGATCCTGGCATTTTCCAGGGCTGTGCTGGAGCTGACGCACAAGGGTGCTGACATGAATAAGATGGACTCCACTACACACAGTTGATGTGCAGATTCAGGGGGTGGCTTCCTGAGCAGCACTGTGTGTGTGCCGTCCCAGGCCCGTGCTCTAAAACAGGACTTACACAGCTTTAGCAGGGAAGTGCCTGAGACGGGCCTGTGGATTCGGTGATCAGAGTTTTCCTCATGAAATCAATTCATTCACAGAGATTTGTCTTGGTACCATTTCAACAAAGAATTCCTTGACCCCACAATTTTAAGTTTACAACACTAGTATCAGTGTGGTGCATTACTACTGTCATGGTGACTGTGGGTGAACTTTCAGACTCACATGTTACAGTTGCAGTCCAGATTCAGACATGTCCATCTGCACCTCTGTGATAATGTTGGCACACTGGGAAAGCAGGCCCATTGCGGCCACTGACCTTCTGAGGCTGGAACTCACTGTGTGCCAACCCCTGGCCTGCCAGGGCACTCACAGGCTTCCCCACGTAGCACCTGCTACTGCTAGAGAGGGGCTCACCTCTGCCCTCAGCTGTCCCCCTTCTATGCTGTCTGCCCACCAAACAGCTAACCACAGGACTGGCTCTCTGTTGACCTCACACTGTCACTGACTGTAGCTTGAGGGCAACCTCTTCCCCTACATTCTGGGCTGCAGGTGCCCAGAGGAGGGGCTGAGCCGTCATCCTGTCTGCCAGGCCTGCTACCTGCACGTGGGGGCACAGAGGGCCATGAACTTGTGTGTTAGGAAGAAAGAGAGAGGGCAAGCTTATGTTGGGCCCATCCCAGCAGCCCATGGGGAGAGATGAAGGAACATTAGTCCCCATGCTGGAATCGCCTCTCCTGCCACACATATGCATAAGCTGGGGAAGCTGAACCCACTGAAAACAGAATCAGAATCCAACTGCCTGAGTTTCAAAGGTGAGCTCTCCTTCCTTGAGGGGACCTAGCTGGGTTCCTAGCCACCAAAATAAACCACCAACACCAATCTGGTATCATGGGTCACTGTGACACTATTGGATTCCTAGCCTGTATTCTGGGGCTGCCTTTGTGCCCTGTCCCAGGATCAGATTTTAGAAGTGCTGGATTCAGGGCCGGCGCTGTGGCTCACTTGGTTAATCCTCCACCTGCAGTGCCAGCATCCCATATGGGCACCAGATTCTGTCCCGGTTGCTCTTCTTCCAGCCAAGCTCTCTGCTGTGGCCTGGGGGTGCAGTGGAGGATGGCCCAAGTGCTTGGGCCCCTGCACCTGCATGGGAGACTAGGAAGAAGCACCTGGCTTCTTGATTTGGATCAGCGTAACTCTGGCCATGGTGGCCATTAGGGGTGGACCAACAGAACGAAGACCTTTGTCTCTGTCTCTTCCTCTCACTGTCTAACTCATCTGTCAAATAAATAAAAAAGAAAGGAAAAGAGAAAAAAGAAACACACTAAGTAGCTCACAAACTGGCCTGGAAGCTTCTTTTTTTTTTTCAGTGTTAGAAAACTTATATTGAAGTTACAGAAAAAACAAGGTTAATGAAACTTATTTTCAAGTATCCAATGGAATTAATCACACAGTTCTGCACACAGTAGTTCTGTAATTATTTAGGTTGTGAGTTGTGGACATATTTTTGTGATAGCATGGAAGTCAGCATTGATGATCACTCATCACAGGCTTCCAGGATGGTGGTCACTTTTAAGTGCTTTGAAACTGCGTTTGTCCTTGCTGCTTTCTGAGGGAGATTCACAGTGTAGAGTGAAGACTGAGGTTGCTATTTCCCTACTGGTTTGAACTCTAGAGGCAATCAACTAGAGTGGTGAAACAAGTTTCTTTGCTTACTAAGCCAGTTTTGCCTCTTTTCGGATGCTAACCCTGGGTTCTTTCCACTTGAGTGCATTGGAGACAGGAGGCCAACCTTTTTTTATTGCTGATCATTTTTTTCACTTTTATTTAATAAATATAAATTTCCAAAGTACAGCTTATGGATTAAAATGGCTTCCTCCCTCCATAACTTCCCTCCCACCTGCAAACCCTCCATCTCCCACTCCCTCTTCCATTCCATTCACATCAAGTTTCATTTTCAATTCTCTTTACATACAGGAGATCAATTTAGTATATATTAAGTAAAGATTTCAATAGCTTGCACCCACACTGAAATAGAGTGTAAGATACTGTCTGAGTACTAGTTATAGCATTAATTCACATTGAACACCACATTAAGGACAGAGATCCTACATGAGGAGTAAGTGCACAGTGACTCCTGTTGTTGACTTAACAAATTGACACTCTTGTTTATGGCATCCTTGGAAGCTGAAGCAGAAGAAGCAGAAGCAGAAGAAGCAGAAGGAGAAGGAGAAGAAGCAGCAGAAGCAGCAGAAGCAGAAGAAGCAGAAGAAGCAGAAGAAGAAGAAGAAGGGCTGGATTCTGAGAGCCACAATGAGACAGAACCACAGAGGAGTGGACACTGAAGCTGGCCAGCCTAGAAGGTGCAAAGTGGTCACTCCAGACCCTAACATGTGTGTTCCACAGAATCTCATGAACTGTCCCAATGCCCATGCACCTCAGACTTTGTTACCACTCAACACAGCCCTGGCCCCTAGTGGCTTGGTAACCCAAAAGGTATTAAATGTTTGGGACCTGGACCTCTGACTGAAGGTGGAAGATGCAGCACCTGTCACCCCAAAGGAGAACCACAAGGAACCACTGTTCCTCAGGTTCTGTGTGCCCCAAGAATGGAACTAACCTCAGGCTCTGTGTGCCCCAAGAATGGACCAAAGCATATTAAAGCAAACACTTTATTGCTCTTTAACTAACAAGGCAAGAAGGAGGCAAGAAGTACCCCCTGTGTGGCTCTGAGGTAGCCAAACTGCAGTGTACTGCTGTTCCATGTTCTCACGGCTGCCCAGGCAATGAGCTGGTATTTTCATGCACATGCAACCCCAGGGAGCCAGGATCTGCTCCAACAGGAACAGCTGGTACTGAATTCACACACAGGCCAGGCCAGGCACACAAGACATTCAGTGGCCTGGTGCTCACACCCTTGTGGGGGACTCATGGCGATCCAGTCTTCCAGCAACAGATGAGGCTGGGTTGATCCCATCAGGGTCAGGGAACTGTACCCCTGAGATGTGTTCTGTGAGCTCTACCTAGATAGGAGGCAGGGAAGCATGCTGCTGACCTGCCTGGGCTGTGGATGGGGTGCCAAGCTCCAGCAGCAAACATGACAACCTGCACCATGGAGGAGGAGGAGGCCCACACACAGGCTACCAGGAAGTGGGGAGACGGGAAGTTCTCCCTGCACATGCCTGGCACCTGTACCTGTCACTGTGCCAGAAGGGTTTAGACTGCAAGGGCCACAGTAGGTGATATGACTTTGGTCCTGTCTTCAGGTAGACACTACACAAGTTGAGGCCCAGTTGCAGCGGAACTGGGACAGACATGGAAGAGGACATGTCTCTAGTGGATGCTACTCTCTGGGGAACAGAAGTTTCCAGCCTGCAGGGTTCTGTGAGCTTCAGAAGAGGAACTTGTGATGGAGCTGGAACATGCCTGAGCTGATGTGGATCTGTGAGCTACAGGATGGACACAGTCTTTGAGGTGCACCGTGAGAGGCCAGGGCCAGGACTCTAGGGAGCCTTCTTTGTCACTGCCTTCCTCCTGCCCTGATGTGACCTCAAATATTTTGGATTCAGCAGTTTCCATCATGAGGGGCCAGGAACTGAGCCCCAGGGTGACTCCTGAAGATTGGAGTAACAGGGAGGTCCACCTGTCCTCTTGACAGCGGCTTGTGCCTCTGAGGAGTTGGGTGAGGCCTGAACCCCAGGAACTCTTGTATCAGGCCTAGATGCTTGGTCAGCAATTCTTGTGGTTTTCCTGAAAGGAACACAGAAGTGGTCAGCTTCACAGACAGCCCATCTGATCCACAGGATGGTCCCTGAGCAGGAATCTGGGATCTTCTAGACCCTGCCTTGTTCCCTGCTCAGATGATGACATTACCTCCTCACCCTCTTACGCTGCTGATCCCACAGGGAAGGGTGTACCCAGCTTGGGCCAAGAGAGCTACTGGGGGCACACCAGGCTTCTCCTGGGATGCCGCCCCACCCATTACTAGAAGTGGCTCTGGTTTCTGTGCCTCATGCTTTCATCCCAAGGGCTACATGAACTCAATCAGGACTCACAAGGGATTTCCCTATCACCTACCCCTGCTATCACTAACACCCCTAAGACCTCACATGGTCTTTCCCAGGGTATGGTTTATCTGTATCACCCAGAATTGACTTGTTGGAACCTGAAATCTAAATGGATGGCGTTAGAAGGTGGAATTCTTGGAGAAAGAAGAAGACAGGAGAACCACCCTTGAGAGACATGGAAGGGAACACCCGAGTTCCTCGTGTCCTTTTCCAATCCAACAGGTGAGGTCACAGCCTTCCTGCTTCTGTCCCACAAACAGAATTCACCATTTTGTCCCCTAAGAACAAAATATTTCCATTAGATGAAGAGAGGGCGTTAATCCTTCTATAATGTGAGGACAGGGCATTCATTCTGCCATGAAGTAAAGAGGTAGCATTGACCCTTCTCTCCTATGTTGGACATGCCTTTACCAGTTGTCAGGAGAGAACTTGAAGTCTACCTTTCCATAACATATCGTATTGTTCACCTTATGTCACCTGAGGACATGGAGTTCACCCTACATTCACATAAGCATACTGCAATCACCATTCCATCAGATGAGGACAATGCATTCATTCTTCCAGAAGCTAAGGATGGCGCAAGCTCACCTTCAAATGAGGAGAAGGCATTTACACTTCTGCTCTGTGGACTTGGGGTTCACAGTTCCTTCACTTGACCACATAAACTTCAACCCACACTAATATGAGGCTATGGCATTCCCCCATATGTTAATTGAGGACAGGGTGTGTTCACCTACAGTCAGGTGACTTACACAGAATTCACCAGCTGAACAAGAGAGAACATGGTGGTTACCTTTCCATCAGGAGAGGTGAAGGTATTCCACTTTGTTCTCAAATAAGGAAGGGCACTTACCCTGCAGTCATGTGGCAACATGGTGTTCATCCTACCTTCACATGAACATATGGCATCAGCAATTCCATCAGATGTGGACAATGCAATCTCCCTTTAGTCAGATTAGGAGAGGACATTCACTCTTCTGCCAGGTGAGGACATAGGTTTTGCTTTGTTCACCTAAAGACAGAGATTTCACCCTTCTATAACAAGCACATAGTGTTCAGGCTTGGATTGGGTGGAAACAGTGCATTCAACCATCCTCAAGCTTTAAAGGGGCACTGAGCATTGCCTTGGGAAGCACAAGGAGGGCCCCCATTATGGTGTAGCACTTAAAGTGATCACCTGTGATGCCAGCACTGGGTCATGTCTCAGCTTCTGCAGCTCATGGCAAATGGCAAGGGAACAGGGGAACAGTAGATGACAATGGCCCTAGGGATAGGGACCTTGCCACCTGCATGGGAGACCAGGATGGTTCTCCTGGCTCTGGCCTGGGCCATCTAGGGAGTGACCAAGCACACAGAAGATATATCTCTCCCTGTCCTTCTCTCTCTGAAACTCAGACTTCTAATTAATTAAATATTTCTTTTTTAAAAAAACTGGGGGACAGGACAACCACCATTCCATTCTGTGAGTCCAGACCTTAACTCTACCATCACCAGATGAAATGGCATTCACCCTTCTCTAGGGTGAGGTCACAGCACCACACACACACCTTCCCTCAGTTGAATGCAGGGAATTCACGACTGTTTTGCATAAAGACATGACCTTCACCCTATCACCATATGAAGAAATGGTTTTACACTATGGCTTCCAGCCCTGGCCCGTGTGTGTCTTGTGAACCCCAAAAGGTATTAAATGTTTGGGACCTGGACCTCTGACTGAAGGTGGAGGAGGCAGTGCTAGTCACCCCACAGGAGAACACAGGAACCATTGTTCCTCAGGCTCTGTGTGCCCCATGGATGGACCAAAACATATTCTGAAGCAAGCACTATTACTCTTTAACTAGCAAGGTGAGGGGAGGCCAGAAGTACCCCCGTGTGGCTCTGAGGTAGCCAAACTGAAGTGTCTTGCTGCTCCGTGTTCTCATGGGCTGCCCAGGACTGAGATGGTATTTTCATGCATAGGCAAGCCCAGCTGAGTACAGTGAGCTCAGCCTTGCCACAGGTGATGAAAATTGCATTTAATAATTGAGAACAGGACCTTCATGCTTGCATCACATGAGGTCATGGAATGCACCGTCCCATTGTTTGAAGACACAGCATTTGAACTTCTGTAATGTGAGGGGATTCAGATCACCCTTCCATCAACTAGGACAGGGCGTTCACTCCTCTTCCCATGACAACACAACCTTCACCCATCATCAGGTGAGGACATTGCATTCAGCCAGCACAGATAGGACAACATGACCTCCAGCCTTCTGTCAGATGAGCAAAGGCAACTCAACCTTCCCTGAGGAGGTGACAATGCATTCACCCTAGCATAATCTGATGCTTCATCATCCACACCACCATCATGTGAGGACAGGACCTTCACCCTATCCTCACATGAGGACATGGCATTCACCTTACTCTCACATTATTATTTGGAGTTCACCATTAGATCACATGAGGAGAAGGCATTCACCCTTGTGTCAGGAAGTTACTGGATGATAACTCCTCAGTCAGTAGAGGACTGGGTGTTCACACTTCCCTGTGTGAGGAGGGACTATGCAAACTTCTGTATGGTAACAGCACAGTGTGCCCTTCTGTCCAGTGAGGACACAGAATTCACCCATTTGGTGAGGAAAAGCTGTTCAGAATCCCACAGCAAAGTTGAAGGGAGAAGAGGACATTGATATTTCTCTCATGAGAGCACAGTGTGTCTACTCTTCCCACAGGATTGGAAAGTGCATTCACCATTCCATAGATGAAGACATGCATCCACCCTTCCATCAGTGAGTACAGCGTGTTAACCCTAGCACCAAAAGATGAAATGGCATTCCATCTGGTGAGGACATGGCATTGTTCCTTCCTGCACTTGAAGACATGTGGTGGAATGAGAAGGTGAGAAGGTCATGAGAAGGTGAAAAGGTCATGCCAAGATGGCCACTGACAACAGAAACTGCCTGGCAACAGGCCATGATTGGATGGCTTCAGAAACCACATGGCAACAGAGCCTCACAACAGGCTGTGATTGGATGGTTTCAGAAACTGCCTGGCAACAGAGCCTGGCTGGCAACAAACTGTGATTGGATGGCTTTGGAAACTGCCTGGCAACAGGCTGTGATTGGTTAGGGCATAGACCGCCCCTTGACCAGATTGGCTGCCTTGGCTATATAAGCAGCTGTAGCAACTTAAATAAATGAGTCTGTGGGCTGCACCCCTCTGGCCTGTTTTCACCCAACTCCCGAGGTCTGTGAGGTGACTCTGTGCCTCTTGCCCCCACCACGCTCTTCCTCTCAGAACAAATCCTCTCAGAACAAATCAGTTTCAACAAAGACATGACAGTCAACATTCCTTCACATGATCTGCACCAAGTTAGGGCATGGCTTGCTTCCTACTTACACATGAAATAAGGGTGGCCACCCTGCCCTCAGTGAAGAAAGGACATTCACCCTTCAATCAACTGCCTGCACAGAGTTCCCTCATCAGGTGAGAAAACTGCAGTCACACCTCCCTCAGGTGAGGACAGGACCTTCATCCTTCCTTCAGGTGCAATGAAGGCATTCACCTGCCCACTTCCATCATGTATGGCAGAGGGCTCACCTCTCCACAGTGGAGTACAGAGAAGTCACCCTTCTGTTGGTGTGACCAAGTAGCCTTGACCCTATTATCAAGTGCAGAACCAGCATTCACCTGACACTCACAGGGCACTTCCTTCACCCTTCCATCAGACTGGCACAGGGCCTTTAGCTTTCTAGCAGACAAGGGCCGGACATTCACCCTACCATCTCCTGAGCACTGCACATACACTGAGAACTCACATCAGGACAAGACCTTCACCAGGCCTTCATGTCGGGACATGGCACCCACCTTACACTCACATTAGGGAGTGACCTACAACCTTCTGTCAGGTGAGAAGAAAGTGAGTACTGGGTTAGGATAATCCAGCAAACAGGGTGTTCACATTTCCCTCAGGAGATGCCTTTCAAACTTTTGTAAATTGAGAACACAGTGCTTGCTTTTCTGCCTGCTGAGTTCAGAAACTTCACACTTACATTTTCTGAGGAAGATGCGTTCCATCTCACAGGTGAGCACAATGAGTGCTCTTCCATCAGCAGAGTATATAGCACTCACATTTCCCTCAGGTGATCAGAGTGCATTTACTCTGCCCTCAGGATTGGAAAGGGCACTCACCATTCCACCAGGTGAAGACACGGCATTCACCCTCCATTGTGAGGAAGAATGTTAGCCTTACCATCACAAGGTGAAGTGGCATTCACATGTCGATCAAGCAACAACATGGCCTTCTCCTTTCCTTCTACTGAGGACAGGGTATTCAGAATTCTCTCACATAAAGACAAGGCCTTCGCCCATCACCCCTTGAGGAAACTATATTCACTCTACAGACATAGGATAAAGATGTCCAACCTTCCCTCAGGTGAAGAAAAGATGCTTCCTCTTCCATTGGCTTAGTACACGGAATTCACCTTCTCATTGGAGCAATTTGCTTTCCATCAGGGGAAACAGGAAATTCACCTACCATCACCTGAGTACCTTTAATTCATCCTTCTATCACATGAGGGGACAGGATCTTCACCCTATCTTCACCTAATAGGAAATTCACCTTACTGCTCCATAGGGACATGGCCTCCAACATGCCATCTGGTGAGAAGGTATTCACAGTTCCATCCAGTGAACACTGATGACAATCTTTCATTTGGTAGAGGACAGAATGCTCCCACAGCCCTCCATGAGAAGGCATTCAAATTCTGTAAGCTTGGAACAAGGCATTTGCTCTTCTCTCCAGTGAGTTCAGACTTCTCCCTTTAGGTGAAGAGAAGCTGTTAATATTTTCACAGGAGTGTACCACTGATTACTCTTCTATCAGCATAGAATCTGTCCCTTCCATCAAGGGATCACCTTTCAACCTACTTAACCATAAGATGAGGGAATCTACCCATCCCTCACATAAAGAAAGCACATTATACCTTCCATCAGCTGAGTCCACAGAGTTCACTCTCCCATGAGCTGTAGAAACTGCATTCATGTTCCTGCTAACAATCAGATCTTCACTCTTCCATCAGGTCCTTCACCTTCCTGATGTCATAATTAGGACAGAGCATTCAAATTTTCATCATGCCAGGGTACAGGGTTCACCTCTATATGCCCATGACAGCTTGTTCATCCTTCCATAACAGGCCCACATGTACTTCACTCTATCATCATATGAGAACCCTGCATTTCCCCAACCCTCATATGACAAACTTTCTTCACCCTTCCATTAGGAGAAATGATGGTGATCACTATCCCACAGGAGTGTTCATGGGATTATCCTTCCATCATCAGAGAACAAGGCACTCAGTCTTCCTTCAGATGAAGGCAACACATTTACTTTCCCATAAGTGTGAGAAACAGCATTCCCATTCCACTAAATGGAGACATGGCATTCAAAATTCCATTGTGTGATGACAGTGTTAATGCTATCACAACAAGAAATGGCATTACCATTTCCATCAGGTAAAGACATGGCACTCATCCTTCCCACATTTGTGAACAAGACACCATCCCTTTCCTCAGTCAAGGACTGGGAATTCACCAATCCTTCATTTGAACACCTGACCTTCACCTCTCACCATGTGAGGACATGGCTTTCAGTCAACTGACAAGAAACATCAAGGTGTCCACACTTCCCTCAGGTAGCAAGGACATTCCCCTACCATGACCTGGGAACACAGAACTCACCCTTCCACCATGTGAGGAAAATGTGTTCATGCTTACCTCAGTTTGAGGGCAGGACCTTCCTCTTCCATCAGGTGAAGACAGGCCATCCAATGAGGACACCAAATTCAAAGGTCAGATATGTGAGGTGACAGCCTTCACCTCTAGATAGTGGGGGACAGAGCATCCACCTATCCATCACACGACCTTCACCCTATTGTGATGTGAGGACCCTGCACTCTCCCAGAACGTACATGACAACACTTCAATCACACTTCCATGGGATATGCACAGAGTGCATAGTCTTTTACTTGGAAAGGACACAGCATTCACTTACATTACTAAGGATCCTGCTTAGAAGACTTTCTTGCTATCTTCACATGAGGACACAGCATGCACCTGTCTTTCATTAAAACATTGCCTTCTCTAAAGCTGTATTGTGGAATGCAGGAAACTTGTATAACATATAAATTTTGCTAAAAAATAAATTTTAATTGGAAAAGAAAAGAATGGACTTTAACTCTCATATGAACTAAAAACATGTGGCTTTTTCAGTTGGGTGCTGGGTGATAATTCTTCAGTCAGTAGTGAACATTTGGCTCCCACTTTCATTATAGGTAAAGGGTACTGAAATTCTATAGGAACAGAACATGTTTGCCCTTCTGTCCTGACAAGACTCAGATGTCACCCTTCTATTAGGTGATGAGAAGGCATTTTGTATCTCACAGAAGAGTTCAATAAGTGAACTCCCATAAATCATGAATAGGACACTCAGCCTTCCATCCAGCAAAGACAGAGCCTTTACTCTTCCTCAGGATTGTGAAATACATCTATCACCCCAACAGTTAAACAGGGCATTCACACATTCATCAGGTGAGGACTAGGCATTCACATCACAATCACGAGATAAAATGGCACTTACTCTTTGCTGATAGGTGAAGAAGCCATCCTCCTTTTCCCATGTAGAGGATGGGGCATCCGACATTCAACATGTGAAAACCTGATCTTCACCTATCTCCATGTGAAGACATGGCTTTGACTCTACTGACACCAAAAATGATGTGTCCATCTTCCCTCAGAAGAAGAAGGCCATTCCCCTTCCATAAGCTGAGAACAGGGAGTCCACGCTTCAACTAGGTAAGGAAAAGGTGCTCACACAGTACTGGCACTGTGGCTCAGAGAGTTAAAGTCTGGCCTATGGTGCAGGCATCTCATATGGGCGTTGGCTCGAGGCCCAGCCATTCCACATGTGATATAGCTCTCTGCTATGGCCCGGGAAACAGTAGAAGATGGACCAAGTCCTTGGGCCTTTGCACCCACGTGGGAGACCCAGAAGAAGCTCCTGACTCCTGACTTCAGATCAGTTCAGCTCTGGCCACTGTGGTCATTTGGGGAGTGAGCCAGCAGAATGAAGACTCTCTCGCTCTCGCTCTCGCTCTCGCTCTCACTCTCTCACTCTCACTCTCACTCTACCTCTCTCTGTTTTCAAGTAAATAAAATAAATCTTTTTTTTAAAAAGGTGTTCATGCATCCATCAGTTGAATACAGGAGATTCCCTCATTCCTCAGGTACAGAAAAGACATTCATGTTCCTATTCAATGAGGACACCACATTCAAACTTCCAACATTTCAGGTAACAGAGTTCACCTCTCCATGGCTGAGGACAACTCATTCATCCCTCCATCACATGACAACAAGACCTTCACCCTATTGTGATGTGAGGAACCTGCATTCACCCAGGCATAACATGATACATATCAATCATCCTTCAATCACAAGGGCAGAGGCTGCTCAAACTTCCAACAGGATAAAATAATACTCACCTTTAACCATTACCTGCAGACACTCCATCCACCCTTCCATCACATGAGAACAAGAACTGCATCTTCACATGAAGGCATTCCCTTCACCATATTCTCACACTGTAATATGGTCTTCACCCTTCACCCTGAACTCAGAGAAGCAGAAGGCACAAGGCCTTCTTCAGGTGATTACTGGGTGATAATTTTCAGTCACAAGTGGACAAATGGACATTAACACTTCCCTCAGAGTGGAGAAGGCATTCAAATTCTCTAAAATGAGAATGCCATGGTTGCCCTTCTGTCCAGTGATAAAAGGCATCATTCTTAATTAGTGAGGAGAAGGCATTTACTATCTCAAAGGAGAATTCCAATCAATGTCCTTTAATCTGCAAAGAATAGCACATTCAGTCTTACAAGGACAGAGCATTTACTCTTTCCCTGGGATTGTAAAGTACATCTAGTGTTCCACCAAATAAACACATGACATTCAAATGTCCATCATGTGATGAAAGGGCATTAACACTATCATCACAGGACAAAATGTCATACACTCTAACCTTATAACTCAGGAAACCATGCTACCTTTCATTTGCTGAGTACAGGACACTGACCATGCCAGCACATGAAGACATGATCTTCTCCCTGTCACCATGAGAGGACAAGACCTTCATCCTGTTACATAACAAATGAGGCTTCCAACTCTTCTCTCAAGGAAGGAAGCACATTCCCCATTCATCAGCTGAGAACAATCTACCCTTTCAACATGTGAGGAAAATGTGTTCATGCTTCCTTCAATTGAGGAAAGGAATTTCCCTCTTCCATCAGCTCCAAAGAGACCATTCACCTTCCCATTCATTGAGGATACCACGTTCAGACTTCCTCCATGTGAGGTGACAGGGTACTTCTCAACATGGCTGAGGACAAGGCATTCATCCTTCCATCACATGATAACAGGACCTTCACCCTACTCTGATGTGAGGAACCTGCATTCACCCAGCCCTCATAGGACAACACATCAATCACTGTCCCCTCAGCAGTGCACAGAGTGTTCAAACTTCAATTAGGAGAGAACAGAAGATTCATCACATCATTACATGAGGACTCTGCATTCACCCTTCCATCACGAGGAAACAGGAATTTTAAGGCCATCTTCACAAGAGGATACTCCTGTCACCATATTCTCACATTACAAAATGGCCTTTATATTTCTGTCAAATGAGGAGTCGGTCTTTTGCTTTCTTTAATTAATATTGCTTGATAATTCTTCAGTCTGTAGTGGACACTGGGTTTACACTTTCCTTTGTGAGCACAAGACATTCAAATTCTCTCACATGATGATGCAGAGTTGACCTTATTGCCAGTGAGGAAACAGACTTCACCATTCCATGAGGGTAGGAAATGACATTCACTATCTCTCAAGATAGGTCATGAGAATGCCTCTCTCCACAGAGAACAGTGTATCCAGCCTTCCTGCCAGGGATGATAGAATCTTCTACCCATGTGAGAATAATGTGTTCTTCCATCCTCCAGCAGAGGACAGGTGCAGGCTCGCCATTCACTTTCCCAAAAATGAGGGCACCACATCCGAGCGTCCATCGTAAGGACAGGATTTTTATCCTTCCATCACATAACAAGACCTTCACCCTATTGTGATGTGAGGGCCCTGCAGTCACCCAGACCTTACATGACAGCACACCAATCACCATTATGTCAGATGTGTACAGTATGTTCTAACTTTGATATGCAGAGGACAAAGTATTCATTCTGCCATCACTCAAGAAATCTGCATTAACTCTTCCTTCTTGAGAGAACAGGACCTTCTTGCTATCTTCACATTAGAACATTCCCTTCACCATATTCTCACATCGCAACCTGACATTCACTCCTCTGTCAGAAGAGAAGGCATTTGGCTTTTTACCTAAGCTCTAGGTGATACTTCTTCATACTTAGTGGGCATGGTGTTCACATTTAGCTTTATGTTGAGAGGGAATTCAAATTTTCTAAAAGAAGAACGTCCTTAAATCAGTGATAAAATAGGCTTCACCATTCTCTTAACAACATGACACTCCTTTACTCAAAGGGGACTTCAAGTGAATGTCTTCTGCTCTGCAGAAAATAGGGCTTTAACCTTCCCTACAGTGAAAACAGAGTCGTTATTCTTCCCTCAAGATTTTACATACATTTATCTTTCTACCAGATAAACACAGGCTATTCAAAATTCAAGCATATGAGTACTGGATGTTAACATTTCCATAAGACAAAATGGCATTGCTGTATCCCTCATCAGTGAACAAATAATCCTCCATTTCTTCTATGGGGGAAAAGAAACTCACCGTCCCTTCCTATGAACACATGCTCTTCATTGGGTCACCAAACGAGGATATGACATTCATCCTGCTCACACTTCAGATGAGGCTGCCCAACCATCTATCAGGTCAGGAGAGACAATGCTCTTCTATCAGCTAACAGAGTTTGCCATTCCAACATGTCAACAAAATGTAGTCATGTTTCCACCATTGAATGAGGCTCTTCCCCATACCACCAAGTGCACACTGGCCATTCATTTCCCTTTCAGTGAGGACACCACAATCAAACAACCAACATGTGAGGTGACAGAGTTCACCTCTCCATGGCTGAGGACAGGGCATTTATCCTTCTAGCACATGACAACAAGGCCTTCACCCTACTGCGATGTGAGGACAGTGGATTCATCCAGCTGTAACATGACAACACATCAATCACCTTTCAATCAGATGTGCAGAAGGGAGTCCAACTTCAATTACAAGAGAACACAGCATTCACCATGCCATTACATGAGGAATCTGTATTCACCCTTCCATCATGAGAGAATAGGCTGTTCTGCTATCTTCACATGAAGACATTCTCTTAACCATATTTTCATATTATAAGATGTCAATCATCTTTTGCTCAGATGACGGCCAGACATTTTGCCTTCTTTAGGTAAGTACTGGCTCAGAATTCTTCAGTCTGAAGTCGACATTTTGTTTCACAATTCTGGTTATGAGGAGGCATTCATATTCTCAAATATGACAATGTGGAATCTCCCTCTCGTGGAAGTGGTGAAACAGAGTTCTCACTTGGTTAGGTGAAGAGACAAATTCTCAGAGGATTTCACAAGAAAGTCTTTCCCTTTGCAGAGAATAGGACATTCAGCCTTCCATCCAGTGATGACAGAGCCTTGATGCTTCCTTCCAAATTACAAGGTACATTCATCTTCCCATCATATAAACACAGTTCATTCAAACTTTGATCATGTGATGACAGAACATTAACACTACCATCACAACACAAAATGGCATTCTCCCTTCCCTATAGTGAAGAACCCACCTTCCATTTATTCTGCTGAGGACAGGACACTGACTGTCCTTCACCATGAAGACATGGTCTTCACACATCACCATGGGAGGTCAAGTCATTCATCCTGCTGACACATCAGATGTGGCTGCCCACCGTTCCCTCAGGTGAGGACGGACATTCCCCTTCCATGACTTGAGAACACAGAGTCCACCCTTCAAACATGTGAGGAAAATGAGGGCATTCTTCTCTCAGTTGAGGACAAGACCTTCCATCTTCCATCAGGTGCAGACTGGCCTTTTACCTTTCCATTCAATGAAGACATAACATTCAAACTTCTAACATTTGGCAGGACAGGGTTCACCTCTTTTTGTCTGATGACAAGCATGCATCCTTCCATCACATGAAAACAAGGCCCTCACCCTGTTTACAATGTAAGGAAGCTGAATTCTTTCAGCCCTAACACCCACACATAATCACCATAATGTCAGGGGCGTAGAACATGATCAAATGTAAATTCAGCATACCATTCCATAAAGACTCTGAATTCATCCTTCCATCATGAGAGAATAGGAATTCCTTGCAATCTCCACATCAGTACATTGCTTTCCGCAT